AAGAAAGAAAGAAAGAAAGAAAGAAAGAAAGAAAGAAAGAAAGAAAGAAAGAAAGAAAGAAAGAAAGAAAGAAAGAAAGAAAGCAAGCAAGCAAGCAGAGGTCCTAGGAAACAGGCACACCCAGCAAGAGGCCAGTTTAAATTAAACCCCAAATCTGCCCCAATCTCTTTTTTTCTCTACCAAGACAGGGCTTAATTTTAAAATCTATAGCCCAGACTGTTCTCAAACTTGAAGCAATCCCTCTGCCTCTGTCTCTTGAGGGTTAAGATTATAGCAATAAGCCATCCAGATATCATTTTCATTTTCTTTTAATATTTTTTTCATTGTGTAGTTTTAAATTTTTTCCGCCTGTATATGTGTATAGGTAGCGTATGTGTGTGTATGGGTGCTCATGTATGTGGGCACACATCTGTGCAGGTGCATGTGCGTGTATGTGTGCATCAGGAGGCCTAAGGCTGACATTGCTTCCCGACCTCATTCACTGAGGCACAGTCTCTTAGAACTTGCTGATACGGCCAGTCGGGATAGCTAGCTTGCTCCAGGCATGCCCCCCCTCTGCTTTCCAAGCCCTAGAATTACAGGCAGGCCTCCATGCCCACCAGGTCCCCATGGGGCCCGGGGATCGACACTCAGGCCTGCGCAGCAATCGCTTGATTCCCTGAACGGTCTGCCAAGCCCTTAAAACTGTTTTTCTTCCGTTCTATTTTCCTGTTTTGAGACAGGGTCTCAACACAACCCCGGCTGACCTCGAGCTCCTGATGTAGCTCAAGATGACCGTGCACCCCCGATCCTCCATCTCCCCGGGTTACAGACGCGTGCCACCACCCACAGTTTATGTGGTACTGGCAGTCAAACCCAGGACTTCATGCCTGCTGGGCAAGCACTCTGCCAACTGAGCCCCGGCCCCACAATCCATGATCTCTTGGGATAAACCCTTCGATACTGAGCCGTACCAAGATCACCGTTAGCAGGAGACAGTGGACACATTTGGGTATGGAGGCTCAGAGATGGGGCAGGGAACCCATGTGGTCACCGGAAAGTTGTTGTTGTTAGAGATCCAAGTCCATGCCCCAGCCTGGAGCTCTTCCCACCATGCCTCTCTGTTCTCTGGGGAAGAGGAAGTGTGACAGACCCACACTGAGGTGTCTCAGCTCTGCCATCAACCTCACCTGGGCTGACAAGGGGTGACAAGAAGCAGAGGCTGCCACCACCCCACCCCCCCGCTCCCCCCACCCCCCACCCCCGTCTCTGGTCTCTCCACTGGAGCCTGCGCCCACCAGGCCAGCCAAGACACAACAGTCTCACACCTGAAGTGAACCAAGATAGTTCCTTTCCTACCTCAGGCTGAGCCACTGACTTAGTCTCTGGTCACCCAGTGGGGGTCCAGGCTAAGGGTGACATGTCCAGGCCTGGCTCCAGCCCCATCTCCACTTCCCAGCTCAGGGACAGTGAGAGACAGTGAGTCACTTGAAGGAAGTTCTGGGCCCCAAACAGGAAGTGGCTCTTCAGTCTGAAACCCCCTGCAGGATCGAAGCAGCGGGAGAGGCAGATGGCAGAGGGGAAGCTGCTGGAACACTGGAGCACCTGCTAAGATTTCACTCAAGCTCCAACTCCCCTAACCAGCACCACTCAGGCCTCCGGCAAACCTGTCTTCTGCTCTGAACTTGAAGAGCAAAAGGTGTGTCTGTCCAGATGCCTGCCGGCCATCTGCTGAAAGGGATACATGCTGCTGCTGCTGCTGCTGGTGTGTGTGTGTGTGTGTGTGTGTGTGTGTGTGTGTGTGTGTTTTCTTCCTTTTGCATTTTATTAGTTGGGCTCACAGGAAACGTGCATGGTGCCCAAGGAACCTCTTACAATATTTAACAATTCCTGTTGTGCTCCTGCAACAGGAAATGAGATCCTTGCTCTTTTAAAAATTATATTTATTTATGTATTTATTTACGTGTGTGTGTGTGCAACAGTGAGTGTAAATGCAGCAAGCAGTCAGAGGGCAACTTGTGGGCGTGAATTCTTGTCTTCTACATGTGGGTCCCAGGGATTCCAGGGATGCTCCACCATGCTGAGTCTATTTATTTAGTTTTGGGGGTGCTAGACATTAAACCTAGAGTCTCTCCCACTGAGATATATCCCCATCCCTTATCATTTTTTTCTTTATATTTTGAGGCAGGGGCTTGCTAGATTGCCAAGCATTCATCGACCACGTGATCTTGGTGCTTCAGTCTCTCACAGAGTTGAGCCTGCATGACCTGGCCAGGCTAAGCAATCTTATTCTAAAAGCTGTTGCTAATTAGGATGTATGTTGTTCAATTTTAATACATTCATAAAGACAATGTCTGCAAAGATAAGATAAATTTTCTTGTATTTACATTCACTGTAGTTTACACTTGTGACAGAAATATAGTCAAACTTCACACACTGTGGACGTGAACGTGGCGCTGGGGGTGGAGTCAAAGCCTCTGCATGTGAGGCAAGCGCTCTGCCAGGGAGCCACGCCCCCAGGGCTCAAACTCTGTGCCCCTTGCAAGATAATTGCATCTTGTTTTTAATCCTTTAAATCACTGCTGCCAACAGAACACAAATATTATGAAAATCTTGCTAAAGTGAAGACTAATATGATTTATGAAACAAATAAAAATGAAATGCAAATCTCACTACTTACATCAGCAGGCCGCCAACCCAACCCCCAACCCTCAGAGGCGTTATTTGAGTGTACACACTCCCCGACGGAGAGAGACAGCTCAGTGGGTAAAGCGCCTGCTGTACAAGTGTGAGGACCCGAGTTTGAATCCCCAGAACTTACATAAAGCCAGGCATGGCAGCCCGTGTCTGTAATCATGGCACTCCTGTGGGGAGGTGGGGGGTGGGAGGTGGAGACAGACTCTCTGGAGCTCACGGGCCAGTTGCCTTGGTGTACACAACAGTGCAGGACAAAAAGAGACGATGTCTCAAGCCAGATGGAAGATGAGGACCAATATCCAAGGTTGTCCCCCGACACACACACACACACACACACACACACACACACACACACACACACACACACACACTGAAAATACATGAATACAGCCACTCAGTATTTTGTCACTCGAAGCCAGGAGACTCGCTGTACACGTGTAATTCAGTTCCTACAAGGAAGCCATGCTTGCCATGGTAGGAAGGCCGAGCTGCCGGTTTAATACCCAGAGCCAGGCCGAGACACCT